TATATATATATATATATATATATAAAATTAAGGGGCATTAGCCCGGTTACGTGGCATGCTTTAATGATCAGAATTTTTTTTATCTTTTTCCGCAAACATTTAAGGCTTTATCCTATTTTTCCCATTAATTAACTAATCCGAACGGTTAACTTATTGGAGAAACGCAAACGTTCCGTTTTCCTTCATTGATAGTCGTAGCTTTACCAAACCGTTTCTTCTTGATGGCGGTAATTTTGAACTCTGCTATCCATCCTCTCTCTTCCATGATAAAAAAAGTTCCTTTCATGTATTCCATTCTTCAGTGTTCCAATGACATTTTTCTTTTGACCACTAAAAATCCATCAATCCTACAGCCAAAATAGAAGCACACGTGATTGGTAACTTAAGAATAAAAGGTTGGTAACCTTTTCCATTTTAAAAAAAAAAATTATTCCTTCTGAAATTTATGATCCACAATTTCAACATCCAATCTGTTATTCTTCACTTTTTACTCTCTCTGTTTTTTTAACAGGCAAAACAACTTTGGACTGTCCTTTTAGTACATGTACTCACCAATTTAGCTTTCGGTTATTTCGCTTCAATTTCTTGCAGAATCGATCACAAAATGGTTGGGGACCAATTTCTTTATAGGTAATTTGAGAAAAAGATCAACCACTATTATCATTAGTTGGTAATGTCACCCTTCTCCCCTTTTCGTCTAAGTTAACTTTTTTGTATTAAGATATACTTCTATTTAGTTAACATGTGCAACGGTTGGATCTGAGACACTTACACAAACCTACGAATTTGTTAAGGTTTCTAAAGCCATAGTTGCTATCTTAGATTAATTGCTCATTGTTTGTGCTTTCTTACCACTTAATTAACATTAGTTGATTTTTTTTGTGTTTTCTTAATCTTTCATTTAGATTTTGTTTCTTTTATGTAAGTACCCACAAAGATTATTTAGTCTTGTTGTTTCTTCAATGTATTTTCCCATGTTTTGTGCTTTTTGTTGGTGTACTGTAATTTACTCTTTGTTGATCAACTGAAATTAACTACAAATGGTATATGGAGAATGAAAGTGAAGGAAAATAAAAGTGGTCTTAGAATAAGGTTTGAATTTTTTTGATATAAATAGTCATCTAAAAGACTATAAATAAATCCATTAAGATGGTACGATAAGTTTGTAAAGATTTGGTACAGTTTGTAAAAAGGTGGATGGGCAATTATGTTGAGTCATATAATGCATTATAAATCTATGATACATACCTTTGGATTATGGGTTAGTTCTTATAGCCATATAATAGGTAAGTTTTGGATGTTGAAGAAAGTACTAGATGGAGAGATTCAAAGCATTGAGGATTGATTATATGTACAGTTTGATTTAGATACATAGTTAACCATGAAAATGGCCTGGGGTTTCTACTTTAGTCAAGAAATCACGAAAAAGCATGTTCAATCTTGAGTCTGGTATCAAGTAACACCATCAATAGCAATATTTTGAAAAATTTACGTTTTTACATGTAATTCATTGAAACCTTTCACTTTGGACTTTATTTTGTGCGCTCTTTGTTCATCATTCGCTCTGCTATAGATAATAGACAGGAGGATCTCAACTCAATTGGAATAACAAATTATCTCAGACATATGAGTTGGCAGACGAGTGCATGAAAACAAACTATTATGGTATTCTATACGATTAAAATCGAGCTTGCCATTCGAATGACTAATCGAGACTGGAACATAATAGACCAAGGTTCGAACTCGTGTAATATCGAACCATGATGTAAGGTTTGAGTGCCGAGCTCGCAGTCTAAAGACCGATTAAAATCGAGATCATCCAAGATCGAGATCGAGCAAGATAGTGACCGAGCGAGACTGAGGGAAGCTTATCGAGCCAAAAAACAGAAAGCCAAAATATCCGCAATTGGGCGAAAATCATGACGAAAATCCCGGCGCATATCAAGGAGAGGCCAATTAATTAACCTATCATTAGATTCCTTACTGTATTTAGAATTATATCAGGAGTAAGACTCCCCTACTATATAAAGGGGGTCTGATCATTTGTAGAGACGTCAATTTTTATGCAATACAAAGCAATATACTGTCTTTCTTCTGGTTTTCAATATCTGTTTACTTTGTTCTTGTATCAGTTTATTCTCCACTTGGTTTGAGGGTGATCGAACTTGAGAGCCAGGGCTAATTGATTTATTTGATTTGCATTTATTTCTTTTATAGTTAATTTCAACATTAATATATATAGTTTCCCAATTTGTGCCAAGTTATATCACGTATCCTTAAAGCCACGTATAAATTCAATTGTTATCCGTTTTTCGGGTAAACGGTTTGGTGCCCACCATGGAACTATGGATAATAGTGATCGGCTGGTACTAACCCTCGTAACACACACTATTTTATACTTTTTCTTTGTGAGTATCTTTGATTTCAAGATCAACATGTCAAACTCTTAGGCAGCACTCGTACACGTGGACAATGACTTCGGTCACCATGATGAAAATGACAACATAGCACCAGGGAATGGCGTACCTCTAGTTGGCCTTGATGGAGTTCCGATAGTAGATCCGATCGACGTCAGCTCGCATGTAGCCGTTAATGCAAATTTGGTCGTCGATCCCGAGAATAGCGTCCGCATAGATGTTCGATCGGACGCTCAGAGCACACATGGCGGTGAAGAAGGCGGAATCAGCCTTCGAATGATCTTCAAGATGTTGCAGGCTCAACAAGCCGCGATAGCACAGCTCCGAAACCAGAACCATGCACCAAGCAAAATCGAGCCCAAGCCGTCCCAGGAAGTTGTTCACAAGGTCAAATCGATGTCAAAGAAATCAAATAGAAATGAACCGGGGAACGATCCCGCAATCATGAAGATGCTCGAGGAAC